CAAGGATTTTGGGGGTGATTTTTGTACTGGACCAACTTGAAAGTTCATCTAAGTCTATCCCAACCATTCAGTTGGTCCAATAAAAGATATCTCCCACAAAAATAATTGACTAATAAGATTGTTTTAGATTATCTAGCTTATACAGTTTTACGTTCCCCTCAGTATTTATCTCTTAAAATAAAAATGTCAGTGTAATAGCCTGTATCTATGCTCTTTTTGCATTCTGTGTCTGGAAAGCAATTGGAGACTGACTTTATGAGGGGGTCATTCCTTTGAACAAAGACAGCAAGAACAAGAAAGGCCCTTACAGAAAAGAAGCCTTTCCCCATTGGATCTGGAACCAGGGACCAGTGATTTAGGCTCCCCCTAACTCAGAACCAACAAACCAATACAAAAATAAATGTGTCTGCATCCCTTTGAATCACTAGCAACTGCTGTTTTAAGAGAACTTTTGCAAGACAAAAGATCTATGAGCTAAATTCAACTGAGTGCTAATATCACTAGGTGTTTTTATATGTGCTTCAGAAGCGACTCTAATTAAAAAGCCCACAGCGCCTCGTGTATCCATGTCCCCACGCTTCAAAATGGCAGTGTGGGCACTTTAACTAAAACTTGTCAAATGAGCTTTAGTTAAAGCACTCCTGCCACCATTTTGAAGTGTGGGGATACTGATCCAAAAGATGTGGAGGCTGCTGGAAGCATGCTAATTATCATGCTCCAGCAGACTCGATTAATTGAGTCTACTCTGATGTGTTGTAATTACAGCATGTTGGAGCAGCCTCCCCACATGCCTACAGGCACCCACTGATCCTGGATAAACTTTGCCTTCCACAGAGGCAGCTGCTACACTGCTTCTGCCTCCACAGAACTGACTTATACCACCCAAGATAGGCTTCATAGTTGCAAGGCTTTGTCAATTTTCTGGTAGACTCAGCAAAGGCACTTAGCTTTTTCCAAGCTGTCTCCAGGAGTTACAGTATTCCACCTAAAGCACTGAAACCTTGCTTAGCTTCACAAGGGATTACTATCTGGATCAATGGGACTGAAAATTATACAAGAGGACACATGATATTTGCTGAGCAAAGGGGGCATCTTATGCTTCCTCTTTCTAACATGATGATCAGAGAGCATATAATATCTTCCTTTTTCCCCATCTTTCTCAAGAGCCAAAATAAGCCAGGTGAGCTAATTGTGTTCTCTGAGCAAATACCCACCTTGATTCTAGGCAAAAAATTCAAGAGAAACAAAACACTGTGAGACCAAGGGTTGTACTAGATAAGAGTTTTACAGAGAAGATACTTTCATTACCTGGAAGTAGGAAACCTAGTAGAACCATCCTGCACTGGATGGGTCTTTCCCAGCCTTTGGGATACAAGAGACCCCTTCAAATGACTGAAAGAGAGCATAGAGCACCAACAAACCTAGTGTTTTGGAGAACAAATATACTGTTTTATAAGATCCTGTAATTTGATGCTAGTGGAATTAAAAAGTTATTAAAACTTTACTCTGTGGATACAAATTAAAGAATGAAGTGTAAAGCTCAGATAACAAGAAAGCATTAGGTATTACTTTGGACCAAGAAATGTATAGTCTCCTTACCTCTGTCTGAGGAAAAAAATCTACATTTTGTATGTGAACTCACTTGGTTGAAGAGTCTTTCAGAGACAATTGTTGAGAAAAGGCTTTTGTTTCAGATTTTTAGGGAGAAGTGAGAGAGATAGCTTTACCTAACGGAGGGTCAGCCAACAAATGCTAGCACATTTTTACTTTTTAAAAATCTGATTTCCTGTTTTGTACGTTGTAGGTATTATAGACCTTAAACATCATTCTAAGGTGTTCATCAACCTTTAAAACTACTGTTTTGACTGAGTCCTATACTTGTTTTACAGGCCATGGTATTAAAGTGTCCTGGGTTAAACATCATCCTAACTCAGACTGTGATTGCCCCAAAAAAGAACAAACTTTCTATTTCTCTTTGAAAGTCTAACTCCTGGTTAACACCCTTGACTTCAATTTAGCACTCAAACATTACTTCCTGTAGTGTCAAAGTAAGTAAAGCACAAAAACGCTGAGGTGTTTTGTTAAATGGTCCTCTAGGAGCAAAAGCTATTATTTATAATCACAGTACTCAACATCTCTGATATGTGTGTGTATGTGTGTAATGTATGTATCTATGTGGGTTGTTGTTTTTTTTTTACAAATTTATAGTTGTGTAAAACTATATATACTCACGTACACACACACAAGCAGTGGACTGAGGTAAATCTGGGCCTTATGTATATGCTGTCTTCTTACACTGAGTGACAGTAGTGAGGTTTGGCCATCTACTGTGTTTGAAATTTAAAAGGTTTTTAAAGTTGAATTAACATTTCTGAGCCTAGTGTTGAAAAATCTTGACATTTGCAATATGGAGAGCAAGCTGTCAGAGATTTCTATCCTGGTTTCCCACCCAGAAGAGTATATTTACTGTTCAAACATTTTGAGGCAGGCACCCATGGAAGTCATCGGGAGCTTTGCCATTGGTTTAATAGGAGCAAAATCAGGCGCTATGTGTAAACATACAGCAGTATTTTTCTCTTTAAAAACCACCATCACAACTGGATAGAACCTGGTTTAAACATTCACACATTGGGCCTCTTTACTCTAGGAGTCTCCAACTATGTCCATCCTTAACACCATGATGGCTGCCAAGAGAAGGCTCTAAAATGCTGATTTTAATCAAAATCTTTCCTTTCAAATCTAGCATAGAGTTTACACATCGCGCAAAAGTGCTGCTCAGCACTGGAATTTTCAGGATGCTGTGCTGAGCCAAATACTGTAGGCACAGCTTGCTCATAAGACGGCAATGTCATGGCCCACCTCTGAGACTGTAATAAGGCTACTGTACTCAACCTCCCACCCTTGGAGAAGCCCACTAATAACATCTGCTTTATAGCATTCACTCCTGCAACCTGCTAGTTCCTTGGCTCTGCTGCTGTCATAGAGAGGATGTGCTTTACTATGCTGCAGGTCTGGTGGAAAGTTGTCAGACTTCAAGCCAAATGTGAAACCAGCCAGTGCTGAATAAATGACTTGAAGTGCTTTCTCAAGGGACCCCTTCCAGATCCGAGAGTCCTTTATAGCTAGATTTGGCCAGTGTTTGTAGACAGTCTTGCTCAGAAGCAAATTAAAAATCAAAATACAGACACCAGTTGAAAAACATAGAAAGCTAGACTCAAACATCCACCATGTATTAAGACATTCTTATATAAAAATAACCACAAGGTTGCAAATTCATACTTTCCTACTTGGTGAGACCAACTGCAACCAGGAATAAACCTGGAAATGTGTGGGGTGGATGGCAGCACTGCCTTAAGAGCAATCATAAAATTGGAGCTGGAAAATGAGAGAAACTCTGAGCCAGGCTATTTGGATAATCCTGTTTAATTAAGCCAAGATGGTGGGTGGCATAGCAGCTTAAGGCCCTCAATTGCATCACTACAGTCAAGGGGAGCAAGACAGGCTCCTTGCCAAATACACCAAGCTCTGCCTCTGGAGGCCAGTGATAAATTTAATCTCTGATTTGAAAATGCATGTCTGACAAAATGGAGGACACTACTTGCCACTCCAAACTGGTTCCACATGCAGGAGTCCCAGTGCAAGGGTCTTTAAGGTCTCCCCTGAATACGTCAGAGAGAACAGGAATCTGAGCACTTCATACAAAGATATAGGATAATTGAAATGGCAGGACACTCTTCTTCCACATGACAGCTTTGTGGAAGGGAAGGAAAGAATCTCTTATCATATTGGTATGAGGCTATAAGCTCCCCTGCACCCACAGAGTCATACCAGGACAAGGGCACAAGTGGCAGGCTGGAGAATCAGGATGTAATTTCAAACAGTGGTGCAGTTTGGGGAGAGAAATGAAAGGATGACTTTATTTTGGACTATAACTAATGGAAAGATAACACTTTATGGCTCATCTTTGCACATATCAAGCATTAAGATATAACCACCCTCTCCTTTTCAAAAACCTCAGGGCAGGGTTGTATTCTGTTCAGTAAAAGCAGAAAAATACACAGAAAAAGTTCTGCCCCTGGACCATCAGGACATGAGTGCCTAAAAAGCCTTGCTAACCTGAGGGACTAGGGGCCATATTAATGGATGGGCAGTATCAGTTCTAGAAACAAATGCCACATGCTGTTAGAAAGCTACGGTGCTCAGTGTACATGCAAGAAAACCACTTATGACATTTTAAGTCACATAATATTTGACTTTTGGATCACATCGTTCCAATTACTATTGTTTCTCCCCTCCTTCCTTCATTTCTAATTCTAATTCTGCAGCTGATTTTAAGCAGCCTTATCAATTGCTCCCTTTTGATAGCAGTGTCAGGAAAGATGGGGTTGTAGGTTCCAAAAGTAATTAGGCAGTAATCAAAGACTAGAGATAACTTTTGAATAACATCAGAATCAAATGGGTGGTAAGGCAAGGAAGATTCAAATGACATCATTGGAAGCTAAACTTTTCTGACCTGTTAATGCTGGAAATGTTGACAAATGAAACAACTGCTACTGGGTACTACTCTTACCCAGTCTTGCTTTCTCCAAACCTTTCATTTCATGCACATTTTGCCTTAATCTAGATTGTCAGTGTTTTGGGGCTGCCTGTACAGTTTTTAACTGAAGCCAATATTCTGCAGGGGGGCTCTAGGCACTATGGGTGTTTATACACATGCTCAAGTTTTGGGAGGGGGGGTGCTTTAATTAGAGTGGCTCCGAGAGCTGCTCTAATTAAAGCGCCCAGAGCCTCACGTGTATTAGCATCCCCACACTGAAAAATGGCAGTGGAGGCACTTTAACTAAAGCTCATTCGACCAACTGCCATTTTTCAATGCAGGGACGCTGATACACACGAGGCTGGAGTCTGCTGGAGCACAGTAAGTACCATGCTCCAGCACACTTGATTGAGTCTGCTCTGGCACGCTTTAATTGGGGCAGCCTCCCTGCACGTGTATAGGTGCCCTACGACCATACAAACAACAAGCTGTTTTAAAGCAAAGCTTCTCAACCAGTGATATGAAATTGCTCTCTGCTACTCCATTTTTGCCCATAATCTTTCCCATCTTCAGGTAATTTCCACAGAGATCTACTAGATTATTTTAATTTTCACCTTTCTTGCTCAATGCTTGCCAATTTGACTTTGGTGCACTAGCCACCTATCCATCTGTCTTCAGACCTAACCTTTGACTTAATATTTAGTGCATGTACATGCTATTTAATATTGGCAGAGGAATTTCCCTCAAGGGCACCTTACCAGAAAGGATTTACTTTAAAAGCCCATTATGGGCTGCTGAATTGAAAGAAGTATTCATGCATAAAGTGCACAATGATTACATATAGCTCATGGATCAGAGCATCATCCTGTTACCAGAAGCTGGACTTTGGTTTCCTTCTTTCCCTGTTTGTTCAGAGAAGCATTATTTGAGAGAAAGGCAGAATATTGTTTTCTTTTCTCTTCTTTTTTTAAATAAGATTAAGTACTATATAGAAGTATTAATCAGAAAGGACAGAAGCAATGAGCAATATTGATATCTGGATTCTTAAGAGGCAAAACTGTACCAAAAACAACTTTTAAAAGCTAATTCTGGCAACCTGCCTTGATAGCAGTTGATATTTTTTAACATTACTTTTTTTCTTGAACTTCAGAGCAAGTGGAATTCTACAAACTGCCTATAGAGCTCACTGGAGACAGAAAGAAGAAGAGGTAGTGAAGAGCAAAGATCAAGGAAGAATTATCAAGGAGTTTTCCCTGTGGGTTGTGCAGGGCACACTATGGACTTTATTTCCATTTTTTCAGAGAAGAAACTTCCAACTGCCTTTATATGATGTATATAAATTATGTTTTAGTATTTTCCTGCACATTTGCACTGATCTTGGCCATTGGATTTTGTGCCAATGCATTGGTTTTCTCACTCTTTGCTACACACCGTTCAATGCAGAAAAGCCAGTTGGACATTCTTCTCCTGAGCATGGCTGTTGCAGATCTGCTTACCCTTATACTGATGCCCTTCATTCTTGCTTCTGTTGTCTGGTACACTTGGTTTTTGGGAGACACATTCTGCAAGGTTTTCCAGTTTGGTCTGGCTTTCTCCCTAGCTGCTAGCATATATTCTTTGTGTGCTGTCTCTGTCACTAGAGCTAGAATCATCTTGAGTCCTTACAGAGCTCCCAGGCAGACTACCACAACATTTATGCTGACTACGGTTTGGGCATTGAGCGTTATCATCAGTCTGCCATTGCGAATCCATGCCACAGCGGAAACAAGAGTTGAAACAAATGTTACATTTTGCCTGCCAGCTCCCCACCAGCAGCACTACTGGACTGTTCTTAGCCAGTTTATTTTATATTATTTGATCCCAATCTTGATAATTGCATTTAACTATATCCGGCTTGCTCTCTTCTTGCACAAAAGTCCCATGATGTCTTTGGTGAGTTCCAGAAACACCCGAAGAGCCTCAATAATGATCTTTTGTGCAGCTGCTACCTTCTCAGCATGCTGGCTTCCACTGTATATCCTGGAGTTATGCATCTACTTAAGACTCTTCCATCATGGCTATGTTTGGGACACTTTCTATTTCGTCTGTAATATACTTCAGTATCTTCACCCATGCGTCAATCCTGTGCTGTATGTCTTATTGTCCAAGCGATACAAGACAAGTAAAACTAAAAGGATGCTATGTTTCCAAAAAAATAAAGTACAGCCTCAGGTCCACAGCTTAACAGAACCCTCGTGAACCACTTGTGTGTCCCAATCAGTAGGAAAAAGTTCAGTATTTTTGGTGAGTTGCTGAATGTTTATTTAATTCAAACTCCAGCCAAATCATAACAATACTTTCTGTCCTTTCTTAGTTTATTCTGTTGAATATGCTATTGGTGTTTTTTTACTCCTAGATTGAATGCCAGATTTTGCCCCAAACCTTTGCAACAACAAAAGTGTAGTGGTAGCAGTGGAGTGGTACTTAGTGCAGAATTTAATCCAGTCATTCATTTAAAGAACTCCCTGAAGTGGATTTTTTTTTATTTTGAATTTGGAATTGTGACAAACTGATTTAAGTGATATGAAGAACATGACTTGTCCTTATCCTGGCTAAATAGTAGCGATCACATTCTGCTCTGCAATTCACAAATTATTTTAAAATAGGATAGAGTGTTGTAGGGAGTTGGAGAAATCCTTTTAACTGTTTAAAGGTGTACAGTGGAAATCAAAGTAAATCTTTTGTATTCTACATCTGTCTCAAATCTTATATCCTGTCCATCACTGCAGTATCCTAGCACTTTCTAAGTATACTTATGTGACTGCGTGAGCACAGATCAAATTTATTAAAAACCTGGGAGGAGAATGGGATAATTTCCTTTTTCTAAAAGTTTAACATAGATACATAACTTTACTCTTTTTCTATTTTTGTAGTACCAAAAATTGTGACTCATTGGTCTAAATGGTGGTATTCCTCTCTCCTCTTCAAACTATGAAAGGTTTTATCTTAGTCTGTGATATTTTAAAAACTTAATTAAAAAAAATTACAACCTCCCACCCCAGCCCTTTCAATGCCTGAAAGACCCTTGTGCTCATTTTCAAATCTCTGAAGTAGGAAAAGGTTGCTTTCAGGCAGTACACATTAAACTTCTTTCTTAAAAAAACCCCTCTTATGACAGAGTTTCAATTCTGGGATAGCTTGATTATTGAAAAGAACTGCTAATGTTTATTATTTCATGTTTGCTTTTTTGGCATAAACAGGCTGTGTGAATTTGATTAACATTAAAGAGTCTTCACCAACATGCAAGTGAACGACTGTGGAGAGCCAGACATGCCAGAGCCCACGGCTCTGCCCCTGCTCCCTTGGGATTGCTTTGAAGCATATGGCATCAGATGCAAGAGGTGTTGGGGGCAAAGGCAGGAGTGAGAATAAACTTAGTGGAGCTGTGGGTAACATTTGTGTGTTGTTATTTCGTCTTATGAATTGCTTTTATCACAGGACTGCAATGGCCTCTTGATAAAGACACAGGAAAGTGCAGCATATTCTTTTCAGTAGTCTCTAATCTCACTGCAGTATTTTGACTAGGGGAAAGAACAGAGTTGGTCCCTGCTTGTTGACAAAGACTGACCTTCTCTGAAGTCCCTCAGAAGATTGTACAATCCATAAAAAACTAAACAGAAAAAATAAGATGCATTTTATTTGATACTGTTGTGTTACAGAGCAAATCAGAATTCTTACTTTAAAATAAATAAAAAAAATGGGGAGCGAGGAGCAAGATCCACTGGTTTCTCCAGGGTATAGACAAAACATGGGTAGCACCAATTTGGCAATCTTCACACACACCACGGTGGTAATGCGTCACAGTGAAGAGATAGAGATACCAGACTCTAACATCCTGTACAATTCTATTGACATAAATGGAAACTGCTTGGATATGTGTCCATACAAATTTGACCAGCCTTCCCTATGTGGGAAAGGATATTTATCTATATTACTGAATAGTCTAGATCATAGTTTCTCAACCTGTGGTATGCAATACCCCTGGGGGTACGCAAAACACAGGCAGGGGGTACACGGGTACCCCAACACTCTCTCACCCTCTTTTCCTCTTTCTCGCCCCTTCCTCCTCTCAAAACTATGGGAAAAAATTTGGTGCACCACGCATTGTGCAGCACTTTAAAATCCCCAGTAATAATTTGGCATGCCATGCTTTGCATGGCACTGGGTTCAGCCCTCCTAGCTTTGGCCAACACCACCTCTAGCCCAGGTACATACTTGAGTTGTGTATCCCTGGTGTAAAAGGTGGCAACTATCCACACCAGATCAGACATCTGTCATATCATGACCTTATATACAGAGCCCTTCTTCCAACATATGGCACACATTAGTCTGTAAATATAAAATCCCCTGGAAAATTTTCAAAAGTTAGGGGGTACTTGGTACTTAAAAGATTGAGAAACACTGGTCTAGATGGAAAAGGACCAGTGATTTGGGGGGTGGGGGTGGGGAGGAGATGGTGAATGTACAAAAAATAAACACAAACCTGTTTCTGTCTGTTTATTTAAGTCTTATATTTTAAAGAGAAGTGCAAAAATACCTATATTTATTTTAGATAATGAGCTCTTTCCACTGAGGCACCATTGTTGCAAAAGCCGGATGTGTAATGGTAGCAATACCTAGGTTATTAAAAGGAAGACAGAACCTGTGCTGCAGTATCTTAGGTAATTATTTCCACATTTACTATGGGAAACATATCCATCTATCTATGAAATGCATGCCTTGCATTGTGAAAGCAGTTAGTTAAAATTCTGGAATATTTGTATGATCTTTATTACAGATGAGTTACTAGAATGCAATACTAATACTATATAAATAGACTTACTGATGTCTCATTAGACATTATGGCATCTGTATGGTATTTGAAATACATGAGAATCTGCATCAAAAATGGAGTTTGGAGATGTAAACACTTGCATAGTACACAGTGGCTTCATATACACGTGCTTTAGTGAAGAGTTGACTACTTAGCTCTGCAGTAAAACATCACCATCTACAGTGTGCCAGTATTAGGGCACAGTAAACTAATTAACTCTGCTGTAAGATAGTATTGTTGGTGGGAAAATTTACTGCTTTAAAATGCATGTGTAGACGGTGACTGGGCAGGGGACAGACTCCTAGCTGCTGCCTAGCTACACGGCTCCACACTTTCAACACTCTCGTGCTCCAGCCAGCTTCTCCTCCACCCAGTGCCACCACTTAAAAGTCAGGGCTGACCTCCTAAACCTGCTGCCAACCTAGGCCTGCTCTGCTCTGGCTTAAGAGCTGCTGTCTCAGTTGCATGTGTAGACACTGTTCACAGAAGCAGTGTACTCTGGCTCAAAATGCTCCAGAGTTTATCACTTTGCCTTAATTGCAAGTGTAGATGCACCCAGTGTGTATGTATTGTTTAGCTACTAATTAGCCACTAATTATATCTAACCTAAAGTAGTATTCTTAGAATTCTAAGAAAAAAGTATCTTAATCATTCCATGTGTAGAAAGTTTTTTCTTTTTCACATGGGAAGGGGCAAAGGGCTGAGTTAGCCACCAGCCATTCTAAGTCAGCCATAACGAGGGTGAACAAGCAGGGATTAAAAGGATTTGGGAACTAGCTGTTATACTCCCATGTGTGCGCTCTAGTACTCTTTAACTTTTAGACTAAACTTTATTTACAGTTAAGGGTTTGCAAACTTTGTGCATTTTTGCACAGAACATCTCTATAGTACCTTGTCTACACGCACACAGACAATTTCAACCAACAATGGAACCATTGCTTTTCTGAAGACCTTTCACCCGCCTGAAGAGACCTGAATCCAGTTCACAGAGCATGACAAAAGACACCAGTACAGCAAGCAAAACCAACAGAAACTCAGAAAGAAAACGAATTAGCATTCCTCAGGCCACTGTTCTGTTTCCATTAAGGCAGACAACTCAGTCCCCATCTGAGCCTTCATAGATTCATAGAATGTGAGGGGCTGAAAGGGATCTTGTAGATCATCAGGTCCAGTCACCCTGGACTAGGCAGGAAAAGACAACTGGAGTCAAGTGACCCCAGCAAGGTGACTGTCCAGTCTCCTTTTGAAGATTTCCAGGGTAGGTGACTGTACCACCACTGGAGGGAGTTTATTCCAGTCTGGACACCCTGACTGTGAAGGAGTTTTTCCTGGAATTGAGCCTGAAGCAATCTTCCAGGAGTTTGTATCCATTGTTCCTGGTCTTCCCCAGGAGTGCCCTGGTGAATAGCTGTTCACCGAGTTCTTGATGTACTCCCCCAATGTAGCGGTAAACTGCTACCAAGTCCCCTCCCAGCCTTCTCTTCTGTATGCTGAAGAGGCCTAAGTCCCTCAGCCTCTCCTTGTATGTCTTGTCTTGCAAGTCCCTAATCATACGGGTGGATCTCCTCTGGACCCTCTCATGTTTTTCCACATCCTTGTTGAAGTGTGGCGCCCAGAACTGGATGCAGTACTCCACCTGTGGTTGCACCAGTGTGGAGTACAGTGGGAGTATCACTTCCTTAGTTTTGCATGAGATGCAACAGTTAATGCATGACAGCATGTTGTTCGCCCCACTGGCCAAAGCATCGCACTGTCGGTTCATGTTCATGCAATGGTCGATCACTACCCCTAGGTCCCTTCTGGCCGTGGTGCAAATCAAATCATCGCCACCAGTTGGGGACTGTTTGCCCCCAGATGGAGCACCTTACACTTCTGAGTGTTGAATTTCATCTGGTTCTGGTCTGCCCATCTCTCCAGCCTGTCCAGGTCTGCCTGCAACCTATCTTCTGGCATGGCCACACTCACCCATAACTTGGTGTTGTCCGCAAACTTGGCCAGCGAGTTTTCACCCCCACATCTAAATCATTGATAAAGATGTTGAAAAGCACCAGTCCAAGCACGGACCCCTGAGGTACACCACTGGCCACTTCTCGCCAAGACACCACAGATCCATTCATGAGAACTCTCTGGGTCCTACCATGCAGCCAGTTTCCCACCCACTGAACTGTTGAGCAGTTAAGTCCACAATTGTCCAATTTTTCCACAAGGATATTGTGGGATACTAAATCAAAAGCCTTTTGGAAGTCTAGGTATATAATGTCGACCTTCTCTCCTGTGTCCAGGTGGAGAGAGACCTGTTCATAGAAGGAGATGAGATTGGTAAGACAAGACCTACCCGTGACGAAGCCATGCTGGCTGTCATTCAGAATCTTACCCTCAACAAGCGTATCGCACATAGATCCTTTAATGAGTTTTTCCAGGATTTTCCCTGGGATTGAGGTTAGGCCGACTGGCCTATAGTTGCCCAGGTCCTCCCTCTTCCCCTTCTTGAAGATGGGCACAATGTTGGCCCTCTTCCAATCATCAGGGATCTCCCCTGTGTGCCACAGTTTCTGAAAGAGTTTTGCCAGGGGTTCTGCAACGACCTCACTCAGCTCCATGAACACTCTTGGGTGAAGTCCATGGGGTCCTGCTGACTTATAAATGTCTAGCTTTTCTAGTTGGTTTTGCATCAGTTTAACATCCACAGTGGGAAGGCTATCATTCCCCCATGCCCCCTGCAATCTTTATCTCGCTTGTCTTTCCCCTTGGTCTGGTAAAATACTGAAGCAAAGTGGGCATTCAGGAGTTCAGTTTTTTCCTGAGTGTCCGTTACCAGCTGTCCCAAGGTGCTAAGCAGGGGCCCCACGCCTCCATTTGTTTTCCTTCTGCTCCCTACAAACCTAAAGAAGGACTTATTATCTTTGACTCCCTTGGCTAACTTAAACTCAGTTGCCACCTTAGCTTTCCTAACCATTTCCCTACAAATGTGGACCACTGTTGTATAGTCCTCCTTGAGGACTGTCCCTAGCTTCCACTGTGTACACTTTTTTTTTCTTTTTCAAGAGGACTGTAATGTCCCTATTGAGCCAGGAGGGCTTGCCAGCCCTTCTGCTACCTTTCCTCTTCATGGGAATGGTTTTCTTTTGTGCTTCAAGGACTGTGTCCTTAAGGAATGACCGCTCTTCGTGCACACCATTTGCCTTCTGTCCCTGGTCCCACATCGCCTCCCCTACTAATGCCCTGAGCCTGTTGAAGTCAGCATTTCTGAAGTCCAGGACTTCGAGCTTGCTGGTTGATATGTCAATCTTGCATTGGACAGTGAACCTGATGAGCTCAAGGTCGCACACCAGATCATCTCCTCTGGCCAAGACTCAAGTCTAGGAGAGCAGTACCTCTGGTTGACCCTTGCACTTCCTGGGTCAGAAGGAGCTCCTCAATTACAGTTAAGAAGCTACATGACCTAGCCGAGTGTTCCTCCCAATCTATGTCTGGGTAATTGAAGTTGCCCATGACAACCAAGTCCCTTGCATGCACAGTCTCTGCCAGTTCTTAAGAGAACTCCAGATCAAGCTCCTCTCCTTGGTTCGGTGGCCTGTAGTAAATGCCCACAGTTAGATTTCTCTCACCTCATGCCCCCCACACCCAAAGCTTGACCCAGAGGGTTTCAAGGTGCTTATCTCTGGAGCCAGTGTCAGCCTCCAGAGAGATGTACTGCTCCAGACAGATGTACTACTCACTTAGAGAGCTACCCCTCTGCCTTTTCTCCCTTTTCTTCAGAGGAACATGAAAATTCTTAGCACACCAGACAACCTCAACTCAGTGCAAGCCACTTGAGACAGCAGGGACTCATTCAGCTGTCAACCATCAGGAACAGGCCCACTGTGTGACACTTAAACAAACTGGAGAAGAGAAAGCATCTTTTTACCACCCTCATAGCCACTTTTTACAACTTGAAAAATATTGTATGCTGCAAAGCCATCAGATTCAATGCAAGACTTCTGATCTAGGCATGCCCAGCCACCCCAGTTATACATCCTGGTGAACTGTGAGGGCAAATCCAGTGAAGAGGGTGCTCAGAGGTCACTGCAGTGGTAGCGAAAGAAATATTCCTGTACAGTCATACTGATGTACTGATAGTGATCTGTTAACTGAGTATATGTCTTCAAAGCTGCTTGGAAACTCAGGTTCCATCAGCCTCCCAGGGCAGAACAACAAAGCAAATGATTCATCCCAGAAAAGGTGAAATTCTGGCCTTGAATCACAGCAGACAGCGATTGCTCTATGACAAAGAAATAAATTTCCACTACCTTGCCCCAAATCCAATCCTTAACACTGGCTCCAGAATGTAGCTGAGCCAGAATCCACCTGAAACCATTCTATTTCTCATGGC